CGGACTGGGTAAACCCGGTTACCTGCAAGCTTAGTTATCGCTGTTTGTTGTTCTCTACTCCCATGAAAACCACTGCCAGCCACCCGCTCCCCCTCGCCCCACCCCGAAGCAGCAGGAAACAACTTCAAAGCATTTGCCGAGTTGAAGATGGCAGCGTGTAACCACCTTTGCTCCTCTCTGTCTGCAGCCCAACATTGAAATGATCTGGGCCATGAAGGCGTACCAGCATGCTGAAGTCTACTTTAACGTAAGTCCACGGGGGCTGGCTGGTGGTTGAGCGGGAGAAGTGGCGGTGGGTTGTGGATGGGATCTCGTGGGCTTCCTCTTTTTGTAAGACAAATACCCATCGCACAGCGTGAGACCCAGGGCTGAAACAGCTGGAGGGGAACCACAGGTCAAGAGGAAAGGGTATAAGCTGTACTGCTTCTTGTATCTTCCCTGGTAGCTTATTTCCTCCGTTGATCCCAAGTTTCTGAACCTCACCAAAGTTGATGACCAGATCTATGGTGAATTCAGGAAAACCTTTAATGATCTTAAAGTTGATGTACTTGACCCAGAAGAGCTCAAATCAGAGCCAGCCAAAGAGGTAAGTGCTGAAAGGGTACGAGGGAGGGGTGAATATCCCATCTCTCCCTCAACCTTTGGCTTCAAGTGGCTCTAGGAACGAGGCAGATATGAACGTTGCTCTCTCTAGAAATGGCGCCCATTCTGCATGCAATTTGAAGGGGTGGTTGAGGACTTCAACTACGGTACCCTGCTCCGCCTGGACTGCAGCAAAGACTACACAGACGAGAACACGATATTTGGTGAGTGAGTTGGCCTGTGGCTAGACGGGGTGTTATGTCAGGTGTCGCACCAGCTCTACGGGCTCTAGGCAGCTATTAAGCCCCTTTATAGCTATTAAGCTATAGAGGCAGCTATTGCCTTCAGGGACTGACCTGGCTCTTCCGTGCTGCGGATGCCAAAAGCATTGCACCTTTCTGTCTTCCTCATTCCCAGAAATCTGCACTCGGTGTCTGTGCTCTTTCTCAAATAGGTGTGACTAAGATGGTTACCATTTTCTCTCCTCCTGTGGGCAGGCTGAATTGCAGAGGAAAAAAAGGAGCAGTTTGGTGTGCGTGCTGCTAGCAAGGGTCAAGGTGAAGCGTGAAGCACGTTCCTTTTGTGCTAGAAAAAGCCCTGCTGTTCTGTGGAGATGGGAAGCGTTAGTTAGGACTGAGGCTGCATGAGGTTATAGGAAATCTAAATCTACCTTATCCACAGATCTGCTCTAATGCTCTAAACTTTTCTTTCTCCTCTTTTAGCCACCAGAATCCAGTTTTTTGCCATTGAAATAGCTCGGAACAGAGAGGGCTGTAACAACGTTGTCTACAACAGTGCCAAAAAACCAGCATCCGCTGGAGCGGCAGCAGAAGCATCTGCATGATTTTAGGATGGAGTTCACCCCCAGTGCGTAACAGATGTGAGAGACAGAAAACTTTGACGCAGGAGCATCTGTTCCTTCATAAGGGAGGCATGTACTGACCCAAGTCAGGGTAGATACTCTCCCCAGGACTGAACTGTGCTTTCATTGCCTTTCCTGCAGAAATGGCCTTTTGAGTTCAGATTCCATTTGCAGATTGTAAATAAACATTTGAAACTCCCTTGTGCTGCACGAGTTAACAGACCTGCTGCCAGCTTCTCTTCTATAGAAAGAAAGAGTTGTCAGATTCCCCTAGAACAAACCTAAAAATCTAAGGAATAGTCCTGTATCTGCTTTGATTTTAATCAGATTTCAGGCTAGAGATCAGCATTGTATTAGCAGTAAGTAGCAGGGTTCAGCACTGCAGCTAGAATATTAATACCCGACTCTATGGTACAACCCTGTCCAAGGGCCCCCGTATATCAAATACACTTTTTGAGCTGCCACCTCACTTGTGAAACAAAACCCACCAAGCATTGGCCCAGATGCTCCATCAGGTCTGTGCAGAGAAGAGCCCACAACACACACTCTTGGCGGAGGGGTCTGTCTCCCAAGCACAGGCAAGGCCCAGATAGACACAGCTCAGTAGAAACCATTGAAGTTTATTTGCAGTCACAATGCTTACACTGTATGCAGCAAACACCCTTACAAGTCAACCAGCAATCTGCTCACGCGAAAAAGGACCCAACACACAATCGCCAGAGGAAAGAACAAAAAAAGAAAAAAAATAAAAAAAAAATAAAATTAAGAATAGGTGGTGTCTGGGAAGAGAAACTGAAACCCTAAGGACTGAGTGTCTGTGGGGTAGAGCTGAGCAAGAGAATGCACACGACTAGCAGCAACAATAGTGGAAAAAGTACAAGGCAAACAGGTTCCCCTCCCCCATCAGCTTTCCTCTGTAAGTAAATTTTATATCCAAAACATCTAGTATGGTGACTTAGAAAAAAATGGAATCATTTTAAAGGGGGTGTTAAATACTTCATGCTAGGCAAACCTTGTTATTAAGAACCCTCCACGGTGGCTAATTCACTGCAGCGGTCCTGCATTCCTGGCTCTGTCCAAGTATGCGCACGCTGCCCTAAGGGCCGACTGCACTCACTGCTCACAGCTTTGTGGTGGGCGAGTTCGCAAGACCATGGCAAGCTCATCCCCAGCCCGATTATTCCACACATGCTTCCTGCTTTACAGCAACTAGGAAACAAGTACAAGGCAGTCAGGAGAGTGTCTACTGCAGAGCTGCTGGGCAGGGTGGGGAGCCAGCACCCACGCAATGTGTCCGTTCAACAGGTCACCCGGAGCGGGGGGGGGAAGGCAAGGGCCCTACTAGAAGCAAACTGACAATGGGGACAGTGCCTACTGTTACACCGGGAGGATAAGAGAGACACCCACGAGCAAGCACGAATGAGAGATCACGCAGCATGGCTTAGAGTTCCTAATAACAAGGGCAAGACGGTAACAGGAAGTTGTGATTTCAAGGGGCTTAATAAGAAAAAATATACATTTGGAATTTTACATTTTTTTTTGTTTTTGTTGTTTTTGCTTCTTTCTACACTTGTCACTAAATATATCTCTGCACTTTCACACACCCACCCCTCGCCCAGTAAAGCTTCAGGCCTGCAGGACACACTTTCCTCACTCGCATACACAACCCTCACGCCAGCACTGGTGCACCAGGACTCTGTAAAAATTTCAATCACACTTTTTTTTTTTTTAAATTGAGTCAATATAAACCTTGTTCAAAATGTTATGAAAAAATGTACATGTTTATACAAGGCAGGCTGCAGCAGAGCACTGGCGTTCCACGCAGACATTCTGGTAGGGAGACGCTGGATTCTTGCACCTGGCTTATGCCCTTCCACCCCCTCCCACGGAAACAGAAGCACCCTGCCTGGTGAGCTTAACAACCCCTCCTGTTCCCTCCTCCCTCGGGACGTGGAGTACGGTCAAAGCGAGCACCGCAATCCAGCCCTAGGGAAGAGCAGGGATTAGAAACGCCCTCTTTTCTTTCCATCGGAAACGGTAACCCCTCTGGGCCAGGCCAAAGAGATGCTGCTCTGTACAGGTGGAGTTGGGAGATGTCAGCTCATCATGTCATTGCTGTTCACACCGTAGGTGGAGTTCTTCATGGAGTCGTTTACCTCTCGCCTGAACGCTGACAGATTTTGTGTAAACCTAAGGAAAACACAGAGCAACACGTGTTAGAGCGGGAGGTTGCCCATGCCTTGAGTGTTTTGCTATCCGTGAGGCTGCCACAAGGATCAGTGCATGCTGGATTCTCTAGGCTGTACTGCTGCATAACCCTATGGCCTCTGAACACCTCAGGACCCAGGAAAATCTCAGTCCCACAAACAGGCCTTTGGCCCAGTGCTTCCATACTGACCTGTCCCTGTTCTTGGTTAGGAGGTTGCGTTCGATGCCTTCCATGAGGTTCTCAAAGCACAGGTGCATGGCCTGCTGTTTCTCTGGAGGCTGGCTGTTCACTATACTGTTCCTCAAGTCAGAGAAATACTGGGGGAGACAAGAGGAGTATGGGTTAATTTTCAGAGCAATAGCCAGCTTGGCTTTGGGACAGGGCATAACACATCCTGTTCAGGAAGACAGGGGGAACATGTGTTACAGCTCTTCATGTGATTTCTAGTGCTCTTATTAATGAGACTTCAATAGGATTCACTAGTGCCAAGGCTGCTGCAGAGAAGGGCCAGACACCTTTCTGCCTTGGCGCACAGTCTCTCTCCTGACTTCCCAACCTCCTGCTGCACCACAGTACTGCTTAGTTCAGCCCAAAGGCTCCAGCATCGTTCAAGCCTAGACAGCTTCTCCGGCTGGGATAGCAGGTCAGGACGTTTACCTTTTCATTGAGCAGTATCAAGCCAAGCAGAGGCCGAGACATTGACCACTGGTTCCTGCAGTCCTCAAAGATGATGATATTCAACACTGTTGACAGCATCTGGAAAAGGGAGATTGAGGCTTAAAACCAGCCCCTCAAATCCAGCTCTCCCCTTGCCATGACATTGTGTGTGCACAAGAGTGAGGATTCACCTCCACAATTTCCTTCCCACAGGAGGAGAAAACATCCCTGCATTACACGCAAGGGGTGGAATAGGCACGTTCATGCTGCCAAAATGAGCCCCCTCTGAAAGCTGACTGGCCTCTGTACCAGGCTAGAACCATCATCAGTGATGTCAAAGATACTCAGACGCTGAGATTAAAAGCCAAGCATATACATACAAAGGGCAGCTCATGCTTGTTTAATGCTTCTGGTATTGTCTCCTATTGGATCCTCAATGCTACAGTGCTCCCAGCATCATGGGACAAAAGGAGCACCTGGTTAGTAGAGAACAGTGAACAGTGGTTAGTAGAGAACTCTTCAGTGAAGGCACACATAGCAGGTGCTGAAAGCTGTCACAGTATTTGTTTCCGAGATACCCCATCCTGCCCCAAGGCAGCCAGGGGCAGATTGTCTAATCTTCATTTAACATAACAGCAAGAGCTAAGTGCACAAACTGCACATGGACATATGTTCCAGTGCCCTGGGAAGCTGCTTCTATTCCACGCTAGCGGCGTCCGCATCCCCTTCCACAGCCTTGTTAGGCTATAATACCATGAACAAAACCGAGGTCTAACCCAGCCAGTTTGGAAATGCAGTTTCTCTTTTATGCCCAGAGAACATAACTTCTAGCTCCCAATGGGGGCCTGCTTTTGATCTACCCAGGTGGAAGGACGGACAGAACAATATTTTTCCTGCTTTCACTTGGGAGTCATGCCAACGCTTTGACTAGTACCAGTGAACGAGGGTGGATAACACTAAGAAATGCACTGCGTGCTGCTGTTCAAAGGCAGCAGGTCAGGCGAGGGACATATACAAAAGTGTTTTGCTATGAGGTATGGATGTCCAGATCCCGGTGCTGAGCCCTCTGGAGTGCCAAAACCAAGATCTCTGTGAGCAGAATCTCTTGTCGTTGAGAAATACCACACAAAGGTACCTAAACAACATGGTACATGCAGATATATGTTGAGACTCGTCTAAGCAAGGAAAACGTGTCTTCAGCACATTGATTTCTGCCATCACATACGCTCATGACCAGCAGAGGAGACAAATCCCAGCAAGCTCAGTGGATATCAAACGCGTTGTGGATAGAGGCAGGAGACAGATGGCAGATGTGCTACCAGCATGTAAAACTTGATTATCAAATTCATACTGCAGAGGCCATTCTGAATCCAGGCATGAACAGTGCCGCCAAGGTAGCGCATGCTCTAACGGGCAGCAAACCTAACTTTCACGTGGTCTCAGCACAAGAGTCACAGCAGAAACTGCTCCTGTATGCTGAAGTCTAACCACAGCCTTGTTAAGTACAGGGACCCCATGGTTTCTGCTTTGCTGTCAGAGCACATGTACCATTGAATTGTTCCAGGGCTTCAAATAAACCTTGTCTTAAAGCAGCTCAAGATCACATGCTCATTGGCAGGTGGTTTATTTCCTGGCTCTGTTTCTACAAATTGCCAGCGCAGTCCACACCATTTTTTTAAAAAAAGAAAAACAAATCTCATTTTCAGCTACTTCCTTTCACTTCTGAAATGCAAAAATGGTGTTCCTTGCACAGGGAAAACCTGAAGTGTTTTCAGATCAGACCTACCACGTACTGAACGTGTAGGAGAAATGCAGCACTAGCCAGAAAATCCTTTTCCCTCAGGAAAAGCCCAGAGCTCTAGAGCAAGGATCATGCATCCCCCATATTATGTCACGCTAGAAGAATTCAGGGCTTATCAGGCAGTTCACCATGCCATGCCACGCCACAACAAGGTTCTACACCTTCACTCTTTACCTGCTGAATCATCTCTGGGTGCTGCTGCATAATGTGCAAGAACCGGTCGCTCTCCTGGGTTAGAGGTGTGGTCCTCTTCTTGGTGCTGCGAGACAGCTGCTTGAAGAGATAGGTGACAATGTGGTCCAAACAGGAGCAGCAGCCTGTGCAAACCATGGTGTCTGCAAGAACAGGAGAGGGGGAGATACTGGGACACTGCTAGCATTTCTCTCGCTCAGACACACCTGGGCAGACTCCCAGGAAAGCATCACCATTCATCTGCTCCCATTCAGGGGCTTAGCAAGCGAGAGCTATCTAACCTATAGACCTGTCAGCACAAGTTCCTCACTGACACGTTCAATTCTCTAACGTTTCAGCTTTAACAGAGGTGAAACAACGT